ATCTCACCACATTATGGATCTGAAATGGATCTAGGTTAAATCACACAAGCCCTAAGAATAAAGGATATAACCACCCACAACTTGTGTCCACGTCCATGCTCATCCACCCACACTGAGCCTCAGCAGCCCGTGTACCAGCACCAACACTAATCCATACTTCCCTCTCACCCTTGCCCGCAGCTGTCACTCTGAAAGTCAGTAACTCAGCCAACATTTGCTAAACACCTACTCTCTGCCAAGCACCGTAAGACACACATCAAGGATATGGAAACGTAAGACATGGATTTGCCCCAAGTGGCGGTCACTCTCTAGGTCAAGAGGTATCACTGCTGCAGTATTCTTGTTTTGCCTCTCTTCCTGGTGCCAAATGGCCTCCAGGATCATGGATGCATCTCTGGTTACCACCAAAGAGAACTGCCTCCCTCTGCTCTCTCTCACCTAGCTGTCTGGCCACTTGCTTTCTAAAAGTCCCTTACAGCTATGGGGCAGGATTCTGAGAGGGACTTGGGAGTTCCCCAGTGCGAGACTGATAGATCAAGTCCTCAAGAAAAGAGGGGGAGAGCTATGCCTTCATATATCTATTTCCCAACAGACTGCTTATCAAAACTATTAGAAAACTGATAGAGAGCTGGGACAGCTCTTCATCTCAAGCGCTTACATCCCATTTCCTGTCTATACAAAATGCTATGAACTCATACTTAAGATTTTTGCTCTTATTTTACAGATGAGGTACTTGGGGTTCAGAAGCAATGAACAGAATTGTTAGATGCTTGTGATGCTAATGAGACCCAGGTGACTTGGATACTTCCAAAGGATTCTACTACTAGCTAATGATCATGCAGTAGCCTTTATCTCAGCATATGCTGTGTAATGCATGCTTACACTTGAGCAGGAAAATATCCTCTTAAGAAGGGCAGTTGCCAATGACTTATGGAAATACACTCTGTGAAAATGTAAAGGGGATTGTCCTTTGGTGGTTTCACTAAGCAATTTAGAGAAGCCAAGACAACTCATTTCATTGTAGCAACTCATTTTAATTGCCATCAGTAAAGGAGCATCTTGTTTGTTCGTAGTCAAGTATTTATATATTTTGAGGGTTTCCGTAAGTAAAATGAGTTTCATTGTACCCTGTATTTCTAATATAGAAGTCACAGAAAGTGATTCAAAAAGTAGTAATATAAGGATCATCAAAATTTCTAGATGAAGTATTTTAGCCTGTTGGGAACACCTAGCTGTCAAATATATTTACTCAGGGGCTGGGGATACAGCTCAGCAGTACAATGTCTGATGCAAGGATGTGAGTTCAATTCCTGGTACCAAATATATATATATATATATATATATATATATATATATGTATAATTTTAAATTATATACAATATACATATTTAATTTCAGTGGCAGGCAAGGTAAAGAACACCCTCCTTTGGTATCAGGCAGGCCTAGATCTGATTTCTGATACTGCTACTTACTAGCTTTGTGGATATATGCAGGTGAATTTCTTATTTCTTCAGCCATAAAATGGGAACCTATCTCATAGGATGATTGTGGTGCTCTAATGAGCATTATTATGCCTTTTGGGGGAGTCAGATAACAATGATGTCAATGCTTGCTTTACTTGCTACTTTGGTAATTGGGATAGTTATTAGCAAACTTCCCCTGTCTTTTTTTGGAATACAGTCATTCTTTGGTATCCAAGGGGAGTAGTTCCATGTTTCCCACAACTACCAAATGCCTGGATGCTCAAGCCCCTTATATAAAATAGCATAGTATTTCATCCAATTTATGAACATTTTTTGTTATACATCAAATTATCCTTAGCTTACTTACAATAGCTAATAAAATGTAACTGTTCCATAAATAGTGGTTGATGCTTAATGACAGTGGGAAATTCATACACGTTCAGTAAAAATGCAATCTTTTCTGAATATTTTTATCTGCTGTTGATTGAATGTACAGATGCAGAATCCACATAGAGGCAGAGCCAACAGCATGTAGAAAATGAATTCACTCTTACTGGTCTCAGAGACCCACATATGAAGCATTTAGCAAGCTTCATGGTTTGTAACATATCAAACAGATACTCCTAGTTATTTTTAACATAACTCACTAAGTTTAACGTTCATTTTAACTGCCTACTCATAAGCATTTGTGCTTTGCTTGCAGTTAGAAAAACTAGGTTTTATGACTGATAATTACTCTTATGACAGACTTCATGGTTCCAAATTCTGGATAGCTACTTGCTTTTACCTTGATTCATTTGGAAAGTTTTCTCCCTATGAAAATAGCTGATATGGATTGAGCCAGTGTTTCCAGAACAACCTATTGGCAGGTGCCTTACTGGGTACTGGGTCAAGGAGAGCAGGAAGACAGAGTGCTTTTGGCCCTGTGAACCCAAAGAGCTATCCTGTGGTGTTCATGTGGTCAGCATCACCTGTGAACTTGTTAGAAATGTAAATTCTCAGGCCCCTCTCCAGGCTGACTGAATCAGAAACTCTGGGGGTGAACCCCAGCTGTTTGCATAAGCTCTCTTCAAACAAAGATCATCCTGATCAAATGTCAAAGCGACACATATGTCATTGAGCTAAATCTGAAAAAGTTTATTGAGCTAAATCTGAAAAGTATTATTTGTCTTTCGAGGAAACAGGCCCAGTGGCCCGAGGCCACAGGAGAAGCTGATGGAGAAATTGCTCTCTGCGGAACTCAGGTCTCCCACCTCAAATGGCCAGATTTCTTTCTGCTGCTTTTCTCGTGCTGTATTGCCTATGTCTGATGAGGAGCCTCATGTTATTGCCAACCCAGACGTCAAACATTAGTTTTCAGAGAACTAACAGAAAAAATCTGCTCTCCATGAAAATAAGGACCGCTAAGAAAAATAAAAATCTGACCTATCAAAATCACTCAGTAAACTAGCAGCAATAATACAAACCTTTAACAAGTATCCTGCTTCTGTTTATAAGATTAGAGATGCAGGAAAGGGAAACAAACATAATGTCGATGTGACTGGAATAATATCTAGAATACAGTTTGAAAAAATGTTAGTAGTGGTTCACCATCTGCGGAGGATTATAGATAACCTTTCCCTTTTTTCTTTGTATTTTCCTGAATTTTTCCCAATAACTAAATATTATTTTTCTAATTGAGAAAAACAATAGAACTGTTTTTGGAAATGTTATGTCACTCAACATCAAAGTTCATTTTATATTTCTATTCCTGCAGGACAGTATGTATAGTAATTATTTATGTCATGCCATATGTCACAATGAAAATTAAATTCAGTAAATATATTCCTTCCAGCTGGCCTCAAAAATGAAGAGGTTAAATGCATTCCTAGGTTCAAAGCACTAAGAATTAAGACAAGCTAACTGTGAGGTTAAAGGAAAACTTAATCCCAGTATTCAGAGCTCAGAGTGTCCCTTTTGAAAAAATATTTATGTGACACACAGTTCTTTACTCATTATCTCCCTGACGTTTAACCCTTGGCATAAAATAGAGTATGTAGCAAGTCTTGGCAAAGTCTTAGGAGTTCTGGAGATAAAATGCATGGGAGGAGATCAGATAGGTAAAATACAAAATAATAGTACTTTCACTACCAAAATTTTGTCCTTGTGGGGCAATACGACATTCCAGATTACTGGTAAATTCCATTGTCCAAAATATCTCTAATTTTTTTCTTTCTCAAGAATATTTGCTCAGATATTTATGTTGGATAGCTTACTCTATAAATCAAAAATAGATAAATAAGACTCATTTAAAGAGACATCTCTGCCACAAAAGCATTGTTGTAATGTTTCACTTGATAAAACAAAATGCTTCAAAGCAAAACCAGCATTGCTGTACTGAAGCCCTCAGCAGTATAAATTCAGTGAATGTTAACTGAAATTTCTTAAAGGAAACAGGAAGTTAAGAGCCAATGAAATGAATGTGGAAAAGGAAACACCAGTGGCTATCTCCGTCATCAAAATAGCTCACAACAGCTGACCTTTCTAGAATTTGCAGCCTTTTTCTGGAAAGGATGAATTATTAGGAGTATATCCTATGCATCTTATAGTACTGTATTCAGATAAAAATTTACCTTATTAGTAGCGTCAGAGAAATCAGAATGATTTTATCATCTTGGCTTTCCTGGTTCAGCATAAAAGCATTAGTCTGAGGTGTCTCTCCAAAGTCTCCATTGTCACTCTATTCCATGCTTCCTTTCACAGTGTAGCCACACCCATTACAAAATTACTAAATTAAGAATAAAGAATATGCAACTCACAGAAAGTTTCCCACCAACAACACAGTGCCCGTTCCATATAACTCCCCATCTGCCTATGAAAGTGTTGGACAGGAGCCTGTTGACAACAATACAAAGCTCAACCGCTGTCCTTCAGTGTAACAATTTCTGACAAACCACAGAGAGAGAGAATGATAACCCATTCCCTAGCACCATTCGGGTACTTGCAAGTCCAGCTGTTCTTTTTCCCCTCCTCTCTGGATCAAAAAAAAAAAAAAAATTACTATTGGGTTACACCTCATCCTGATTGTTTCTGCAGTTTGACTATGGAACTGCTAAAAGGTATTGATCAGCAGATGCAACTCCCAAACGTTGATAAAAATGCTAAGTGAACAATTGCGAGCCAACAAGAGGCCTCGAAATATCTTCAGCATAGGAATGCCAATCATCTCAAGAAAGAAAACAACGCAACTACTCTGTCGAATTAACAACAAAAATACAGCAGTTTTCATTCTGAACAAAATTAATTTTTCTGAGCCACTTTTAAGGCAGCCTGGAAGTGTCTGTAAACAGGGTCTTTACATGTAGTCCATCTGCTGTCTGAGCGAGTACCTGCGGCTTCCTAGCCTGCTGCACTTCCCAAAAACCAGACCTCTCCAGCCGCCCCTGCCCCTCCACACCTCACCACAGAGACTCCCTCTGTTTCCTTCCAAACCACAAATGGGCAAGAGTATTCGGAGAAAAAGTTCACAGACGCCTGCTTTTGAGGTATCTGCCCTACCTGCGACCACAAAACCGGAGGGCTCGGAAGTCCCCTGGAAGCTCCTGGGCTCTGCTCCCTCGTCCCGGTTGGTGAGCGCTTCACACCCAGAAAGCAGGAACATGATTTATATGCAGACCTGCACCCGTCCCACACAAGTCCGCACGCCAGCTCGCCTAACCACTTATGTAAGCTTGTCTTCCACGGTCCCAAACCGCAGACACACACCGGCACCTGTCACGCACCCGACAGGGACCAGCACCCACACCAACACAAATCGCTGGGGCGGGGGCAATGCCTCTGCAAACCGTGCTTTCCCCCATTAGTTTCTTGCCCATTTTGTGTCACAACTACAATTACCTTTAGCAACCCAAGAATTGCTTTGACTCGCCGGCTTCCGAATTTCTCCTAAAGCCAGGCTCGCGACAGGTTCATGCTAAAAGCTAGAGAAGCTCCGCGAGCCGGGGACTGGCGACCTCTGGGGGGCGGAGGGGAGTCTAGTCCGCGTCCGCGCCGCTCCGCAACGTCTGGCCGCCTCTTCCCCGAGTTTCCACCCGTGGCGAGCTCGGGGGCTCAGCGAGCGCGCCGGGAAGCCCCGGGCCCGCCAGGAGGCGCGGCGGGTCGCATGGTGCCGGGCGCGGGGCGCTCGGCTGTCTCCGGCGCGCTCCCGAGCGTCCGCCGGTCGCCTGCTCCGCCCGCTCCGCTCCGCTCCGCTCCGGCCGGCGGATGCGGGGAGGTCGGTCCGCCCCCTCGGCGCCCGCCGGCTCCCGCGGCTGGGGGCAGCCGGCCCCCGGCGTCCGGGCGGAGCTCTCGCCGCCGAGCAGGGCCGAAGCCGGGAGCTGCCCCAACTCTCGAGGCCGCCCCGCGAGCTGCTGCAGCGGCGCCCGCTGTCGGGTGCGGAGCGGAGCTGCAGCCCGCGCCCCGCGCACCTGGGCGCCGCACCTGGGCCCAGACCGCCGGTCCCTGGGGAGGCGCGCGGCCGGGCGGGGCGGGGCGCACTCACCTGGGCCCAGCGCCGCGGAAGGCAGGTGCGGACCGGGGTTTGCCCCCAGGAAGAGAAAAACTGGGAGTCCCTGGCGCTCGTGCAGCCACCTTGGAAACTGAGACAGGCTCGTCAGGCGCTGCTCCTGGACGGAAACTTTCGCGGCGTCACGGTGATCTTAGAGATTCCTGGTCCCCAGGCCTGTGCCCCGCAGCTTCTGGATCCCTCTCTGACGTGCAGCTGGCGTCCTTTGAATTAAAATGGGCCACCATGATCGTCAGCGATGTTGTTCCAAACCCTGTCCTTTTCATTTAGTCAGCAGTCATCACACCCTGTGTTTGAAATGTTTTGTGATTGTTCTTCTCTCAAAACTCCACCAAAGAACTTTCGAGAAAACTTATACAAATATTCTTCCGGAAAGGGGAAAAAAAAGTTAAAGGTCGAGTGAGAAAACATAAGTTAAACTGACCACGTTCTTTAATGTGGAAATTTGGACTTCGATGCTTTAAGAGTTAGGAAGCTGGGGATGGAGACTGGACAAAAGTGTTGGTAATGGATGGTAGCCAGGGCATTTGTGTGCTTTGTTGATGTTATTAATAACAAGAAAAATTGGAGGTTTATTTTTGAACTTACTGTGTTGTCATTTGGGGCCGCCGAGGACCTCGTTATTGCCTAATTGCCTTTAAGAATAGATGAACCGGACTCATTCATGTTTGTGGGTGGGGATTTTAAATTTAAAAGTTTTCTTCCCAAATTACATCTTTTGTCATTGTTTCTTATGCCTGAATATGTAACATACAAGGAAACAACACCAGAGAAATGCAAATTGAGAGAAATTCAAGTAAATATCTTTTGTCAGGACTGTGGAAGTAAAGATTGACAGAGACTCCAACAACAGCTGAATGCAGCAAGTGATATTGAATGAGGTCCAAGACCTGCCTGTAAATGATATTGATGGCATAATCAAGGTAGTTTCAAAGGATTCTACAGATTAGAGAGATTCTACACATTAGACAGATTAGATTAGACCCACGTTATTTCCTGAAGTACAGAGAGTCTTTGTTTGTGAGAATTACACACTGAAGTAGAAAAGGGTGGCTATGGAATGTTCCCAAAAGGCCACGTGCTGATGGTATGGTCCCTACCTGTGGTGCTGTTGGGAAGTGGTGGAACTTTAAAGAGGAAGCTAGGTCATTGGAGGCTGCCCTTGAAGGGGATCCTGGGACCCTGACCTCTCTCTCTCTCTCTCTCTCTCTCTCTCTCTCTCTCTCTCTGAGCCATGTGGCAAAAAGTCTCCCCATCCCACCCCACTATGATGTATGTTGTCATAAACTCAAAGAGATAGGACCAAGTAACTATGGACTGAAACCTCTGAAACCATGAAGTACAGTTAAGTATTTTTTCCTTTTAAATTGTTTTTTTCTGAGAATCTCCCATGCTGGGACTTGGGGGACCAAAACTAGCCAGCCTTCCTGGTAAGCTGTGCAAGCCACTCACATTCCAGGGAAAGAAAGATCAGCACCTCCTGTGAGCCTACCGGCCTTCAGAAGGCTGAGAATCAAACATCCTGTCCCCCACCCCACCCCACCCCAGCCCCTTAGCAACTAAATGGTTCTGAGGACAGGCTGAGTTGATAGCAACTAAGATACATAAAGCAACTGAATGCTTGTATAGTTTGGTTGATTATGCAGGCCTGAGTTCAGGGGTCTGAGCATCTCTTGGGAGGATGACAGTATGAAATATAGCAAATAAGGAGGATTTCCTTCTATCTTGTCTTTGAAGTCCAGTGTTGTTTTCACTGTTTTGCTGTGTTCTGATTGTTTTTGCTTTACTCAATATTCTGTTTTGATTGGTTTTATAGTGTTTTATTTTTGGTTTGATTTTGCTCTACTTTATGGAATGGACAACCATTGTTAAGATAACAAGATATACTATGGTAGCTATTAGAAGTTCTGTACCAATTTCACTGCATTGCCTTTGTTCTGTCTTGTTTTATTGTAATTTACTACCTTTAAAATTAAAAAAAAATTAAATTGTTTTTTCTCAATTATTTGTCACAGCAAGGGAAAGCTGACTCATACAGGCATATTACATTTGCAACTTATTCTCAGGTGGTTCAAAATGTTAACATTTGAATAAATAATAAAAGGGGAGCTCATTGAACCACTTTTGATATTTTTCTATAATTTGTTTTTCTTGCCAAAAAAATTAAAAGTTTTCACCCTACACACAAAAAGGGTTTCACCTCAGATTTCCTTTAAGAATCAACTCGCTCTTAGCTGTCCTGAAAATAGGACTTGATCTACAATTTTGTGAATATATATATAATAATAGGATTCTACCCAACTTTTCATTCATCCACCCAGAATTATTAAAAGCATGCTGTATACAACTCATCTAGAATATAGAATGAGATGTATGTGTAGGTAAAATCCTGAATCTTTTGATTATTTTATTAACATGAGAAGCTGAGGAAGGTGTGTGATGCCATTGGTTCTGGTAAAGCTCTGGAACTAAGTGACACACTCAGCAAAAGAATGCAAATGACTTGGCAATTTAGTTTTAATAACTGCATTGACAGGCAGGGGTGAAAAGACTCAGTTTTTGTGCCTTTGGTAAGTCTAATGAACTTGAGTACCGGGGGCCTTTTGCCCTGGACTGTGCATTTTGACATTTGACAGCTCAAACCTCATTTTCTTTCTCTCACTCTTTAATCTTTATCTGAGACCAATGATTCTGTTCTTTGCATTTTAGCAATATAAAGAAGAAAAGATTCTGGGTTGTTTTTACATCCTGTTAAGTTCTGAAAGAAAAAAATTTGTACTAATAGGTACTTTAGAAAAGTGTCCTGGAAAGGTGACTCGTAGACATAGCATCAATATTATGATGGAGGAGGAAAATTTAGCAATAAACATTCTTGAACTCTAACCCAAACCAGCTAAGTCCCAATTTCTAGTGACAGGACCTGGAAATATACTTTTGAATAAAAATTTGTGAACCACGGGGGGGGGGGGGGTTGGGGGGATTCATGCATAGAATGTTCTAGCATTTCTTTTATTATTAATTGTATAATCTTGTTCTCAGGAGAGTTCTCTGGCAGGCTAGCTGATTACAACGTAAAGTGAATTTTTTTGTTTTTATAATTAGCATTTAATGTATGGTTTTGAAAACAAACATATGTTTGGGAGTAGATGTGCTTATATCATGGTGCTAGAGTAAAGGTTTGAGATTCAGAAGTAATTTTTTTTAATTGGTTATGGAGATTGAACCTAGGGCCAATGCCCCCTCCTTTTTTTTCTTTTACTTTTAGTAGTATTTTGAATCAGAGTCTCGCTAAGTCTAAATTGCCCATGCTGGCCTCAAACTTGTGATTCTCCTCCCTCACCTCTCAGAGTGCTGGGATCACAGGCTTCTGTCACCACATCCAGTAGAAAGAATGATTTGTCCAAGTCAAACATATATTCATTCCATGTTGATTTTATAAGCTATAATCAAAACCCTAAAACTTAATAATCAGGATGAAATAATATGTGCATGTACAACCAATATACAAAGACAAAATGTACATCAGTATTAACCAGGCTTTTAAAAAATTATACAAGGCCCAAAGTAATCATGCATAGAATGTTCCAGCATTTCTTTTATTGTTAATTAATATAACAGCTTGGTCCAACTTCTTTCACTTAGGTGATTCCTAGGTCCTATTTTCAAGCACTAGATCCAAGGACCTTTTGTATGATATAACTTGGGGAGTTTAGACAGGTTCACTAAATAGAATTTATCTGTTCTTCAACCTTACCTTTGCTTTTCTCCTACTAGGTGCTGGGATTCCCATAGTTGATCATAGTAAACTACAGGCATGTTTTGTTAGAAGAGAGGAAATGTGCTTCAGTAAAAGAGAGCTCTTACTGAGTCAAATATGTTGATCAAAAAACTAAATAGTAATCAAAACATCTAGACAGTAAAATTAAATACATAATGCCCTCTGTAAACCATGAAAAAGTTTTCTTCTTAAGGAGAACCATATCTTAATTAATTTAAGAACTTTTGTGGACTTTAAGAACCAAAGCTCACCTGAGACAATATTTTTGGCCCTCTTTTAAGTTCTGGGCTTGCTAACTCTATGCTGATAATCTAAAGAAAATAAAAAAAGAAATTTGTAATACAATTTGAAGTGAAGTATTTTTTTCCTCAAGATTGCACTGCCTATTTAGAGGCCTCTTGTGATACCATATAAACTTTAGAATTGGTTTTTCTATTTCTGTAAAAACTGCCATCGGAATTTTGATAATAATTGTATTAAATCTGCA